TTACTCGAAAAGTATAGATGACTATCAATTTTTTTTTATTGATTACTTAGTTAGTGATATGTCTCTTTATTTATGTGTCGTTAAAATTTTTCTTTTGTTTGCTATATAAAAGTAGTGGGCTGCTGAAATTTTACCTTTTTTTTATTAAATTCGATGAAGTTTAATGAAAGTTATGACGTGCCGACGAAAAAATCCTTCCGAATAATAATAAAAATCTCCGAATCGTATATATCGTTTTATAATATATAATTTTTAATATCTCCATCAAATTAACAAAGTTTTATTTTTCCTCTTCATACAATATTTCTTCATTCCCCTAATGATATCGTATTAATTTTTTTCCTCGGTAATTTGTAACGTTACCAAAGTTACATATAACGCCACCTGTAGTTATTCTACAGAGATGTTCTATCTACTTATCATGGTAAACTTCAAGTACTTTGTAGTTTTGTCAATTTCCAATAGATGGCACTCAAAATTCGAATGTATAAGCAGCATTTACCCTGCAATAAATAATTTTATATTTTAAACTAGCTGTGCCCGCGACTTCGTCGGCGTGGAATTTAAAATAAAAAAAAATCTAAAACAAAAGTAGCCCAAGTTACTCCTTATTACATCAGCTATCTGCCAGTGAAAGTCCCGTCCAAATCGGCCCAACCGTTTCAGAGATTAGCTGGAACAGACAAAAATTGTAAAAAAAAAATATTTTGGTATATGTACCACATCCATAAGCATTTAGTAAAAAGCGGATATTTTAATATTACAAACAGACACTCCAGTTTTATTTATCTGTATAGAACTATAACTTTGATTTCAATTGTCCGTAAGTTGCTTGAGATAAAAAGTGTTTTGTTATGATTTTTTTTTTTTTTGGGCTGGATGAGCCACTGTTGGCCTTAGGGGCCTTCACAGTTCCGACGGACTTGAGCTGGCCTGGCGCACGAGGCGCCTAGCCTGAACCTCGGCGTACTATTATTACGCGTTATGGTGACTAAGCTCGAGGGCTCCCGGGGGAGCCTCGGCTCGGGCCGTCACGCTATTATTGTTACCGGTTTGGGAGGCCGCCAAGCTCTTAGGGCGCTTTGGCGGGCGCTCCATGGAGTGATCAGGCTCAAGGGTCCCCGAGAGGGGACCTCGGCTTGGACTGTCACTCAGCACGCGTTTAGCATTCCGATTCGAGGGTGCCCGAGAGGGCCGGACCTCGGCTCGATCGGTAGCTATTATCTGACTGGTTTGTTATGAAGTAACTATAATTCCCCTTGACCAATCTTGCTGCTATAATTCCCCATTACCAACTTATAAACGTAGGCAGCTCAACTTGACTCAATGATAATTAGATCAGGGTCACCGGCTTGATACTTTTACATTATCTGATGTATTTGCTTACATTTTGTAAGGTAGTAAAGATTCATCGGGCGCTTGAGCTACCCTCCGCTTTGCGCGATGTTCCATTTATGCTCACGTTACAAAAATCCCTAGAATATATTGACATTGTATTTATTTATCTATTTTTTATTGAAAACATCTCAAAAAGGGTCACAAAGGGCGGTCTTAATGCCTATTGGCATTCTTTACCAGTCAAACCGGGACGTGCGGAGAAATCGTGATAATAGTTATAATTGAGTTAAATACAAATTAATAATTAAAATCTAAATAAGATTTCAAAAACAAAAGATTGTGAGTACTCATGTACTCACCTAAAAAGTTATACTTCTTTAGCGTAACAAAAGAAAAATAACTTAAAAAATTTATCCCCTGTGCCTTTCTTCGTGAAAAAGACATTAGATGTAATTGATAACGGAAGCTCAAAGTCGCTCAGCGAGCTATGGAGCGGGCTACGCTAGGTATTTCTCTGCATGATAAAGTTCGTAACGAAGACATTAGCAGTTTTTTATTTGTTTTTTATTATGTGACACAAACAAATGTAACCGGCATAGACAAAAGTTTAGTAAGCTGAAGTGGCGATGGGCCGGCCATATGTAGAACTGATAACCGTTTGGGAAGAAAGGTTCTCGAGTGGCAGCCTCGTACTGGCCATCGCAGTGTGGGACCACCCCCCGCCACGGGAAGTCGATGGATGCAGGTGGCTCAGGACCGTACTTCTTGGCAGTCCGTGGGGGAGGCCTATGTTCAGCAGTGGACTCAAACATGTTGTATAACTTGTTAAGTTTATCAGTAGATCTTCAGTCTTTTACAACACTACGCAGTGTGTGTAATTTGCTAGTGTTTGTTAAGAAAGTGTATTTTGCTGACGCTGGGACGCAGATATAAATCAATTGAGAGGCTTAACAAACTGCTTGAAACTCCATATAAATTTTATGCAAGAACGTACCATATAAGCATGCGATCAACCTGATGTAAAGATGTACCACTCATGACTAGTGAACTTATAACCTTAATCACCAGAAGAAATGAAAATTCGAATACTTACCTCTGCCCTCTGTGACGTCATTCATGCAAGCTGCTTCTTGGTTCTACTACAGTAAATATGCAGAAGAGAATCACAAGGCACACACACCATCGCAAATTAAATTCTAATACGATCAATTTTTAACTCGCGTTTCTTGATCTCTTCGGGGTAGGCAATGAGTCATGCTGAAGTAACTAATGAAAAGTTGTCTCAATTACAGGTTTTTCGCCATACCTCCGACATAAATGTCGTATAAAGGTTTTTTCACACAGTAAATGATTACTGCCACTGCCAGTCTATGGGGTGGCCTATGTTCAGCAGTGGACTCAAACAGGCTGAAATGATGATGATGATGATGAAATGATTACTTGTCGATGCACGCCACTGAGTTTCGAATCTGCGACCGAAATAATTTCTAATCCCGACATAGAACACCGATTTATGCCAAATGGTCTTTTTTTATTTAAATGGGTGAATAAATGAAACAACTGCTATAATTTCAGTACTCGTATTTATTTATAAGAGAATAAATTAATGGGTGAAGTTACGGTTTAAATGGCAATATTCTCAGTGATATATTTACTATGATTTTCGAAATGGAACACTCTCAGTAAAGTATTGATATACCAGAAAAAATACTCAAATCAGTAAAGGTTTCTACGTAAAATATGATGCCAGAAAGAAACTCGTACGAATATCAATAAGGTTTTGAAAATAACTGGTGTTAAAAGTAGAAAATATGAGACATTGCGGCAATGGTTGTAACGAACATTAAGGAACAAAAACGTTTACAGCTAGACTTAAATTAAGCAACATTCTTAAAGAACTGACAAAGTTTGAAACGTATAAACAAAATCTTTTGAATGTAGCAATACAAATATTTGCCATACGTCGTTTTTTCACTGTGTATTGTGAAAGAAACGCTCAGTTTTAAAATAATTTATTATAAAACTAAACAAGCTGACAGTGTCACTAACATTTTGAAAGATGTGAATCTAATTATTGTATTAAGTAAGCTTTACGAATGAGTTTGGAAGCAGTGTATACTGGAGTATTGGTTATTTAGCACAATAGATAAACATCACTAGCACTAATATCGTAATATACAACCGCATAATCTCTTCTAAGGCAGTGTTAATGCACTTTATAACAAATTTAACAAATCTTCAGAGCAGTCAAAATGTGGAGTAACACTATTTTAATCTGATCCTGGCCAATAAGTCACTATGTTGTTGGTTTGGAAACCGATTGTTACTCTTTGTGACTGCGATTCATTCGATCATGATGGTAAATGACCGTTTCGTTTTGAAGCCATCTTATCATCCATTGAATTGCAAAGCCAATTATAGGTACTTCCTAAAGGCAACTCGTTGACGTCATAGAATAAGGCAGCATCCACAATTCTCGTTGCTACGGATTATATCCCTACAATAAACGCCCTAATGTTAAGCATTTCCACGTAATGTATAGATTAGTTTCCATGTGATATAAACCAGTGGCTATACAGTTGTTTGTAAGACTAGATATATCTAAAATTATACGTTATAAGCACAAAATATGAACTATCACACATGTCTATGCGTATATCGTAAAAGTCATTTTATATTCTCTTCGTCTTTTGAAGTAATCCTTTGAGTAATGGCAACATTTAAAATACGCAATAATCCACTTTACGCAATAATCAAGCGTGATAGTTCGTCTATAAAATCTTCGCAATTCCTTCTAGAAATTATAACTATGAGTTATGACACAGAATCTCTATAATTACATTACAATCCATATACAAATTTTTCATTATTGTACATATTTTTTACACATCCAAATAGGACATTTATCACATGATTTTATTACGTAAATATCCGCTATGTCATTAAACAGTAACTAGATAACATACAATAATTTAGTGACTTCGTAACTTTGACTAAACGATTCCATTTGATATAATTCTCAATGATATTAAGCATATACCTAATTGTTAATGATATTCTACAGATAGTGCGTCGTATAATCAATATGCGTAATGTTTACGATCAAGCTGCATATATTTTTTGAAAGATTCATCTGTGGTGAGAATCACAGGCTAAATAATAGTAAGATTTGCATCACGTAATCGTTAAATTTTTACAATGTTGACACGACAAAAGGGTTAATGTATTGGCTGCGCAAGCCGTCGTTAAATCAATTATATCAAAAAAATCACAAATAAATAATTTTTACTGAAGAATGAACATTTCTTATTTTTATTTCGACTTTGTTCTTTTTCACTAGTGTCACGTATTAAGTCTATATCATAGTATTTAGACAAAAGTTGTTTAGTCAATATTACACAACATAAAAATACAAAAAGCCCTTTTCGACCTCGGTTTACAAGCTTATGTTTGATTTTTTTGAACAGAAATTAAAATGTCCAAAATTCAAACGTTTATCGATACGATATTTCTTTATCGTAAGAAACATTCGATCTTTTTATATCGAGAATACTTATTGTTCACGCGAACTCCACCATTGGTCGTCGGACACAACGCACAACGGAAGCTTAAATGTCCATTAGTTTTACGCATGACATATACATCGGTTCTCGTAGGCACTACATTACCCCGGGGGAATCCGTCTCGCTCACACGTCGAGGGGCGGCGGGTGGCGGGGGGGGGGGGGGGGCGGGGGCGGGGGGGGGGGCGGGGGCGCGAGGCGCTCGAGCGGCTCGAGGTCGGCGCGGGGGGGGGCGCGGGGCGCGGGGCAGGCGCAGCGGCACCGGCAGCAGCTCGGGCATCACGCTGTGGTGCGTCACCAGCGCCGACAGGGAGCCGAACTCCTTCGTGAAGCCCTGGGAGCCCACCGAGTTCGCTGCTGGCTACGGCCTTTCGGTTCGAGCCCGAAGACGATCGCGCGCGAGGAGGTTCATTTGACTGTGGCCTTCTCCGGCCTCCTCTCGCGGGTTTAGGGACAACCAGTCACCGCGGAGAGGAGGCCTGAGAAGGCCACAGTCGCGGCAGTTTGCGTTCTCGTATTCCCGTGACCCCGGCAAGGCGACAGCGCAGTTAGAACTTGGGTTTTTTAGTGGGTACCCTGTAACTCCCACATACCCCTGACGCCTACCCACAAGGCGGCGGGGAATCCATAAAGGATTTTTCCCACGTAAAAAAATAAAGGGCGTTTCGGACGCCGATCAAGACGCGAACGAATCCACTCTTATTAGCAAAAACCAAAACCGACTTTAAACATCTCGCTTTGTATTAATTTTACGATTGATCTTCAGGAATTCCCTGAGCATCTCCGGAGCCCGTGATCCAATACCCATGAAATTAATATGGAACCGCATGGGAAGCATCAGATATCAAAAATAATCATCAATGTTATGAGGTATCAAACATATTTGAGTTCCGATCGCTCGATTACGACTCCATAGCGCGGTTGCCAAGATATAAGCTTCGGCATGGGTTGTGGGTTCGATCCCCGCACGGAACGACTCTATATCATGTGACCAATAGTTAATTTAGTTAGTAGACGGTGTTATTACCGTTAATCCAGAAGACGTAGATTCGATGCTTTTCGTCCATTATTTTTATAAACATGTACTTTTTCGGATATTATTCAATGTTAATTGATTACCGGCGCCTATGGACAACTAATTGATATGCTTCTCATAATCCAACCCAAGATATAAAAATCTATAAATAGACGTCAACAATACTATTGCCTAATTCCAAGCGGTAGATGGTATTTCCAGATAGTAGGACAACGCAACAGTATTCACAGTTGCACGAAATTGCACGGAAGACCGGCGTAAAGTAGAAGTGTTACACTTGTACACTTCGTCTGGTGAGTGAGGTGAAAAGGTGGTCGAGACAGGCCGCACCTTAATCTTGTAGCCCTTGGGCGTGCGCAGGATGAGGTAGTGGGCGATGCCGTGGGGCGCGAAGTCCCGGGGCACCCTGAGCGAGAGCGCCAGGCAGCCGCTCTGCGTGGTGGAGCCGCGCACCAGGAAGGCGCCCACGGCCTGCGCGCCCAGCACCTCCAGCGCGATCTAAGCACACGCCGGGGCGCATTGACAATTTTGTTACAACTTTCGCTATAGTGGTTCAGCATACGTAGCTAGAATATATTGTATATAGTATTGCACGTTCTATATCATCTGTTGTCTGTCACACTCACTTATACAGGTGATTTTGTAGACGACATATTAACAGAGCATATGGATAATCTGAATCTGGTACGTGCTTGTGACCTCATTTTTTTTTTTTTCAAAGATTATTTTTAATTTTTTCAAACATTATGGACACCCTATTATTAATACAATACAGTAACTTAACCGCTGATCTCACTGTGCCGTTGCTGTTCGCTGTTTAATTTATTGCTATGGCATGTGTCATTGTGAGTTCAATGTCTGAAATTATCTCGTCTCAGTGACCTTCCTTTAGTTATACTTCATGCGTACCTACAGACTGCAGACTGTAGGGTGAAACTTTTAACAGGATAAATAAACAATGTTTGAATTGATATTTTTCTGGTAATTTCTTGTCAAAATAAAATTTTAATATTTTTTTTAATTATTATAAGTATGTACTTCGTCTAAAAATCATCCTGTACACATATATTATGTCATAAAAAGATGTATGCCGCGCAGTATGGTCGTGCGTCATCTATATTACTAAACATCGTCGACGTGCAGTAATGTCCACCTCTCTGGGAATGCCCTGCTGGAACCAGGGCGCGTGGCGGAGTTCGGGCTCGTAGCGCGCATTGTTGTTGCCGGAGGCGAGCGAGGCGCCGCACGAGGAGGCGCCTGACGAGGAAGAGGCGCCGCCACTGCCGGCCGCCGGGCTGAGAACGGTAAATGGATTGGGTGATAGATAGCGTATTACAATTAAAAAGTACGAAAAGATTGCCGCCGCTATGGGAATCGGACCCACGTCTTCGGCATTCGCGGCCTGACGCTTTAGCCACCAAGCTAAACGGCTGATTGCCGCACCGACGGAAATCTTAACGTTTTTTATCTACATTGTTTTATAGAATTTGAAGCAATGCTTGACGCATCCATTGTTATATCATATCCAGCATACAATTTGGAATATCGTTTCACATAGATAATTCGAATTATAAATAATGATTTTAAAAGATTCACGAATAACAAGGCTCATCACATTGAACTTTCAAAGACGGACAAACGCCCAGATCCGAAACAAATGTCCGTGGGTCACGCAAATATTTGTCTCACGTGGGAATCGAATTCCGAGACCACAGCGTCACCATTAAACCAAATGAGCTAACTTAGCAGTCTCTCATTCCCACGCCACTTCTCAGACTATAGACTCTTGTATTTTGGATGACAAGGGATGAGAGTTATTTAAATGTCGAATAATCTATGGAACAGGTCAAGCTCTCGGGAACACGTGCAGGTGAGTTCTGCCCCGTGGGTCGTACCTGTGCGCGGCGTTGCCGCACTTCCCGAGGCCGAGGCCGCCGCGGGCGGAGGGTTGCTCGCGGTTGCTCTCGCGCGTGCGCGCCTCCGCCTCCGACGCCTCGTTGATGTAGCCGTTCAGGCCCAGCGGCACGTTCGTCGGCCTGCAATCGGACACGGAACTTTCAGAACTCACTCAACTCACTCCCTTCTGTTAAGCGATAACAGCTTTAATACACTCGTCGCCCATAAAATATTATTAATGTATCTATTATAATAATATAATAAATATTTTAGGACACATTTTTTTTACACAACATATTCCAGTCCCAAACTAAGCAAAGCTTGTACTATGGGTACTAAAAAACTGATAAATATACTTAAACATACTTTTTTTTTTTGAAATAAATACATGTTATACATATAAACGTATAATTAATGTATAAACAATCAGACACTAGAAAAACACCATGTTCATCACACAATATTTTTCCAGTAGCGGGGATCGAACCCACACCCTCTTGCACAAGAAACAGGTACAGTACCGTAATTCGTATTGCTGAAATATTCTTGAAATATTGAATATAGCAGAGTTGTATCTTGTGGAAGAAAACGTCATGTGTTCACGATCCTCAGCATTGAGGGACCGAGCAAGAAGAGAGAGTTGTACCTTTTTTTCTTTTCTTTTTTATGTGAAAAGTTGCCAAACGAGCAGACGGTTGACCTGATGTTAGGTGAATACCACCCCCATGGACATCTGCTACACCCGAGGGTTCCAGATGCCTGACAACCTTTTGAAAATTGGGCTCCGGCCACCTCACTCACCAGACGAAACGCGAAAGTATTATACTTTCACTTTACATCGGTCTTCTGTGAGGTCGTGGCCGAGACTGCTGCGTGGCACCTTAAAAATCTATGAATATCTATGAATATTGTCGGTATATGTGTCTAGTATGGATCTATGAGTTGTCATATTTTATATGATTTTCTTAAAACATAACCCGTAGCGTTGTCTGGAAGCTTTAGACTAGTTTTCAGAGATTTCAGAGCATTATAGTTTTAGGGCGCGTTCCCATATTTTTCTTTTTTTTTAAACATTGCCCTTACTTTAGGATAACATTATCCTGTGTTGTAGGGATGTTTTACAAACATAAATTTCACGCGGACAAACACACAGATGCGAAACAACTATCTGTGGGTCACAGAAATAGTTGTCCCATGTGGGAATCGAACCCACGACCTCCGACAAAAACTACATACAAAAAGTGGGAGGAAAACTAATTACTCCACACACAAACTGATTGGTTAAGCGATAACAACTTTAATACACTGGTCGCCCATAAAATATTATTAATGTATCTATTATAATAATGTAATAAATATTTTAGGACACATTTTTTTTACACAACATATTCCAGTCCCAAACTAAGCAAAGCTTGTACTATGGATACTAGAAAACTGATAAATATACTTAAACATACTTTTTTTTTTTGGAAATAAATACATATTATACATATAAACGTATAATTAATGTATAAACACCCAGACACTAGAAAAACACCATGTTCATCACACAATATTTGTCCAGTAGCGGGGATCGAACCCACACCCTCTTGCACAAGAAACAGGTACAGTACCGTAATTCGTATTGCTGAAATATTCTTGAAATATTGAATATAGCAGAGTTGTATCTTGTGGAAGAGAACGTCATGTAGTCGCGATCCTCAGCATTGAGGGACCGAGCAAGAAGAGAGAGTTGTACCTTTTTTTCTTTTCTTTTTTTATGTGAAAAGTTGCCAAACGAGCAGACGGTTGACCTGATATTAGGTGAATACCACCGCCCATGGACATCTGCTACACCGAGGGTTCCATATGCTTGAGAACCTTTTGAAAATTGGGCTCCGGCCACCTTACTCACCAAACGAAACGCGAAAGTATTACTTCCACTTTACGTGAGGTCGTGGCCGAGGCTGCTGCTTGGCCCTACCACCTTAAAAAATCTATAAATATCTATGAATATTGTCTGTATATGTGTCTAGTATGAACTGCGAGTTGTCTTATTTTATATGATTTTTTAAAACATAACCCGTAGCGTTGTCTGGAAGCTTTAGACTAGTTTTCAGAGATTTCAGATTATTCTCCAGCATTACAGTTTTAGGGCGCGTTCCCATATTTTTCTTTAATTTTTTAAACATTGCCCTTACTTTAGGATTACATTATCCTGTGTTTTAGGGATGTTTTACAAACATAACTTTCACGCGGACAAACACATAGATGCGAAACAACTATCTGTGGGTCACACAAATAGTTGTCCCATGTGGGAATCGAACCCACGACCTCCGACAAAAACTACATACAAAAAGTGGGAGGAAAACTAATTACTCCACACACAAACTGATTGGAGACGTCGCGATCGACTAGTGAAAATGTTTCACGAAACTCCACATAATAAGATGTCAAAAAAATTTAAATTTTTATAGTGCTTATCTCTGCACTTAAGATTAAACATTAAAATTTGTAGAAAAAAGGAACGAAGAGTTTCTCGCCCCTGTGGGAGTCGAACCTACGTGTTCGGGATTCGCGCCCTGACGCTCTAGCTAAACGGCTGATGGCGACATCTCGCGTTTATCGTTGAATTATCGTTGTAAAACGATAATTCAATTTGTTTGTATGCTGGAAACAGAGACATTTCAAATGTCGTTTCTTTCGAATACAACAATGGATGTGCCAAGCATTGTTTCAAATGCCAAAAAAGCAATGTACATAAAGGACGTTGAGAATTTCGTCGGTGTTTCAGCCGTTTAGCTTAGTGGCTGGGGGGTGGTGTTAAGAACTCGCGTAGTGATGTGGCACTCACGTGGTGGGTGTGTCAGTGACTAGCGGCGTGGAGTCATCGTCCGAGGGCTGCAGCAGGGTGAGTCCGCGCGCGAGGCGCCTCATCAGCGGCGGCCGCTCCCCCAGCCGCCGGTAGCAGCTCAGCTCGGTGGGCGAGGACTCCTCGGAGCTGCTCGGGCTCGCCTCGTTCCCAAGGCCCGGCCCCATCGCGTCGCATTGCGCTGACCTGCAGTTGGCGAATGCCATTCCATTCCGGTGGTTAAACATTCGTAACTGCGCTTCAGTTTATAATAAACACATGTTGCTGTTCAAACATATATATCTCGATTGAAGGTAAACAACTGTTAAATTTTGTTCTGTTATGTTAGGAATACCCAATTCGAAAAAATTTAAAACCCAAATCGTAATTATATGGGATAATTGTTTGGTAGAAACTACCAAACAATTATCATTGTTATTACTACTATTCTATCAAACAATGTATATTCTTGCATAATCGTGTGATATTGGCTTAATAAAGTTATCAATTTGATTCGCGAATTTGTAAAATATAATAATTGAATAAGTTGCGACTTAAATTAACGACGAAGCGAAATGTAACCGTATTATACAGATATTAAAGTTGAATATCGTACCTGTCCAAGCAGTGAGGGTAGTGGTGGGTTAGGCCGGGAAGAGTGTCTGGCGCGCGCGCGCACGGTCCGCCGTTTAGCTCCTTACTCTGCAAAGAAACAGATAGAGACTCGTCACTCGCCAATCCACAAACAAACAAAGGCCGCTGTGACCGTCAGTTGTCAATCACTTGCTCCACCACAGACCTCGCTAAATAAACCTCGACTACCGTCACACCTCTAACCGCAAACGTTAAGACTATCCGGTTCCATTTGGCGCTGTTTTTTTTATTGTATGCGTGGCCTTCGTAGACTTTTTTTATATTAACTGATATTAACGCTTTCAGTACCGAGATTATTAAAGCTTCATCGAATGCAGAACCGGTGGGCTAGCCAGAACCCGGTTTTGAGGGGAGTGAGGATTCCTCAGTGGTTGGGGCCGCACGTGTACTCATGTGTGCGTTAATTATGGCATGTCGCCTACGGGCCATCGAGGTCCTAAGCGCCATCGAGGTCCATCGTAGTCTACTACCTCGCAAGAGGAAGGTTTATATGTATAATACATTAAACCCGTGCAATACCGGGGCGGGTCGCTAGTTTCACATAAAAAAAATATTAAAAGCAAACGTGCAGGCGGTTAAGCGAATTTTAAGTGTTTACCGACGAACACTAACATCGACACTCGTCGGTGTAAATTACCTATGGATCTTGTGTTTTACAATGTCCTAGGTGATCTAGTGACGATACGCTAGTCCTGCGACGCCTTGAGATCAAAATATAAAAGATCAGTTTCCCATTTTTTGTTATTTAACATATAATCAATCGGTAGTGGACATAAATGAGCAACATGAAACAACATAAATCATGTCTCTATATTAAAATTAAAAAATAAATGAAAACCCAGTCAATAGTTAATTATTATACAATCATAATTAATTGAAAAATACTATATTATATAGCTTATTAACATTTGAGTTGTTTGTACCAAAATCTTATACATTTTTTTCCTTAATGCATCCTTATATATTGTATTTGCAAAATTAATTTCCAATGCAAATGCATAGGAGAGTTATAATTAGATTGATAACTACACTTCGTATCTTGCATAATTATTTTCAAGTAAAAGTGTGTCAAGGTATAAACGATATACGGAAATATTGATCTCTGCGCTTTCGCCAGTATTTGAGGTGAAAGTTAAAAATGAAAAGTTAAGTTTTATTACAATACAAACGTCGTAGTCTCCGGTTACTTGTCATGATTTCAAACGAGTTACAATAAAATTTACACTGCATATCGCAAAATTCTTAATGTTATGGCAATATATGCATTTTAGGCTTATAATTTTATTTTCATATATTTTTATGCATATAAGAGCCGTGATAGCTCAGTGTCCGAGCGCTCGCCTTTAATTCAATATACTCGAGCAACCCGAGTTCGATCCCCGGTGCCGGCTCCAATGAAGTTTTTAACTTTAAGTGCTGACTTATCACGTGCTCCGCGGGACATGTATAGGCTGTTACTTTACTTTTTACTTTTATATTTTTTATGTATTAGTTCTATTCTCAGCACTCAAGATGAAACTGAAAATGTGTAGACAAATAGTTGTCAAAAACTTTTTCGCCGCTAGAGTCGAACCGGCGCATTTAAAAGAGGTCGGACCACCTAACCACTAAGCTGAAAGCAGCGAAAAATTATCAATAGTTGATAATAATAAAGATACAATTAATATCCATACAAATAGAAATAAAAATGTAACAAAACATAATAGTTTAGGAACTAAATGTCGTCCACGCAACACAAACTTTATAGAAACCACACAGTGGTATAACGCAATAAAATGCGGAGCAGTAAAAAACCTTTACCAATCACAAACTCCAATATAAAATAAAAATTAAAGACTCACAGGTAGCCACTCCATCTAGTGGGGCATCGTCTCGCACTGCGATGGCCAATATATAATATTTTTTTCAATTATCTCTTAATGTTTATTGCGTCGGGAAAAGTCATGAGAACTTATAATGAATATCTAAAAAATCTTTTTAACGCAAACCGCCAACCTTTCTTTCTGTATCCCAAAAAAGAAACACAAAAAAATAACAGTGTTCTTACAGATGCTATCTCAATCAAAACCGGGAATTTATTACACAGAGAATATGGCGGCATGGTTGCAATTTAAGTCGTATCATCATCGGGAAGGCTATGTATGTATTATTTTATTTTTCAATTTAATAAAATTATCAGTTGAGAATAGTGCTACACTTATTAGTGATACTACGTGAGAAGGGTGGCCAAAAATTGGAGACAAGCCGGTGTTTTCCATAATCGTCCCAAGAGAGTGATAACCGAATACATTATGTTGTGATTTATGGTTACAGTTATATAAAGGGGGTCTTGTTTCCAACGACTAAAATTTATCGTTGGTCGACTTAAGCTTTTAAATTGTTGTCCAACATAAGAATATTGTCATTTTTTAGTTATGATGTAATATTTCAAATATCAAATGAATTAAAAGGAGCAATGCTATTGTGCTTTTTGATTTCAGGATACACCCAATCACCGCTTTGTCTTTTCATTTGTATTTGGTAATTTATGTAACTAATTTAAAAAAATGTCAGTATGGATATAACAATATACGGGTCAAACAGTGTTTGAAGTACCAAAAAAATTTAGATAAGAATAGGATTTTTAAATTGTTTATAGTGCTAATCTTTGCACTTAAGATTGAACATTAAAATATGTAGAAGCAGCATTGCTTCAAATGCTAAGAAAACAATGTGGAAGAATGCGTTAAGATTTTCGTCGGTGTGGTAATCAGCCGTTTAGCTTAGTGGCTAGAGCGTCAGGCCGCGAATGCCGAATCAGCGACAATCTTTTCGCACTTTTTCTACATATTTTAAGAATAGGATGTTAAGGTTTTCGTCGGTGTGGCCATCAGCCGTTCAGCTTACTGGTTAAAGCGCCTGCAGCGTTTTAATTTTAATGTTTCATCTTAAATGCAGTGATTACTGTGCTGCGTATTTCTCTGTCTAAGCAAGTTCGAAACAACGTGTGAATCATGTTGTTATAGACTAGGTTTTTGATGGCCCCCGCTGCCTGCCCAACGTCTACCCACCTTGGGAATAGACATCCAGATCTGTAACAATTACCGGTGGGTCTCACAAACACTTGTCCCGTGCGTGACAACCCTAGACCGTCAGCGCCGATGCCAATGGCTTAGCAACTGCGCCACTGAGTCTTCACATCGCGTTTCTTTTTTTTTTGGTATCGGGAGGGGGGAACCCCCTCGGTGGCCACCATCTGTACGTTTGGAGGGACTCCGGAATCTCCCATGGAACGCACCGGTGTCCCTCGGTACTACGCCCGAGCACGCCTCGGAGATGGATAAACCTTTCCCGATTCCCTCGCCGTCTTGCAGCACGAGACCACTTCGTGCTGCTGCCAATCCGTGTCCCCTTTAAGTCGCCTTTTACGACAGGCGGGGGATACCTTATCTCCGTTCTATGGACCCGGGACTACAGGGCTGTCACATCGTGTTTCCTGCGTTACAATAAAATCCGAATATACACGACCGGTAAACAAAGAGTCCGCCCCCGCTTCGGGAGCAATTAAAACGCCCGAACATCTCACAGTCGACCCCAAAAGTGTGAAATGGGCGCGTGGCGCGGTCGCCCGCTAAACGGAACGATAAATCAGTCGCCGGCGCATTCCGCTGCGTCGTTTCCCAGCCGGCGTCTTGGGACAACGGTTATAATGTACGACCAAATCGTTCCGTTAGCGGCTCGATGCTCCTTCAACCACAACCCTACGCAGACGTGTTAGAGTGAACGTAAATCGAAACACGCATTTTCATATGCAACAAAGAGAGTGTATTTCCAATCTGTGACAAACAGTTACACTCAAAATAATCTTTTAATACTTCTGTTGGTCGACGTAAATGTACTCACTGTGAACGTTAAACGGCTTTCGCGTTCTAAAACTCCATTAAGGGACTGTTTATAATGACGTGTTCGTGTCTTAACTATTATTAAAGAGTGTTAAAGTATGCCTATATGACAATAACTAGCTTTTCGCCCGCGGCTTCGATCGCGTTGACGCCCTTAAATTACTATCTTGAAACCCTTTACAACACTTTTTTTCCAATTAAAAAATAGCCTATGACCTTTATCAGGCTCTAGACTATCTGTATACCAAATTCATTGAGATCGGTTCATTAGTTTTGGAGTGAAAGCGAGACAGACAGACAGAGTTACTTTCGCATTTATAATATTAAGTATGGATTATATATTCTCCCACTTCGATCAATTGCAAGTGCGACCGAAGCAGAGGTAGCGTATCCAATTTATAAAAAATCCGCAAGCAATGGTTCGCTTTAACAGCGATTGCCATTGAAGACATTTGAGCACAAAATTACAGTAATTATTTAGACATATATATATAGACACTAGTCGACCCGACATACATTATCCTGTACACAACTGAAGAATAAAAATGAATTTAATATAAAACATACATTAGTCATACTTCCACTTTACGCCGATCTTCTGTGAGGTCGTGGTACTTACCCGGACGAGCCTGCCCATTCGTGCAACAGCCGAGGCCGCTGCGTGGTAACCACCGTAACATATTAAACACTTCATACAGTGGCGTCATCGGGACCCGTTATAGTTAGTCATAATTAATTTTCTATGTTCCACCCAGCAAAAGCGTCATGCGTAAAGGAAGTAATAGCTTGGTCAAAATATTTTCCTCACCACCAAACACATTCCCTTTTATTCTTAGCTTAACTTACAGTCGCCGTTTGAGAAATGTGTCGCATAAGTAAGTTACAACGCGAAAACGAGCTCCAGATTTATGGACTTTTTCATGCTTACTAAACTTTCGGCTGAAGGAGAAGTCGTGAATCATAGAGCAGTACAATTATTCTAGCATTATTTACGTGAACAAAAACACAAAATGTAAAATTGAAATAACATTTACTTTCTACGACTTACCTAGTGTCTATGTTACCTTACTTCTGCTTTTAATAATATGATGAATCATCATGGCATCTAATTAAAATAAGTACTTTGTTAAGGTGCAATGGAATTAATTGAAACACTTAATTTGAAAT